TTTCGACGATATATTAATTTGAAATATCGTGTGACGTCACACGTGTCACATTTTGTAGCACGTTATGACGTAACGACCTCCCACTCCTAAACTTAGCGCCATTTTATCTAAGTATTGCAACTTAATACGAGAAAATAAAAAAATACGTGTCTAATATTTTTTCATTATCTAACTGACGGACTAATTAGATTTTTAATTTTGATATCCTGGACACAACCCAATTCAATCGATATATTAATACGATATTCAGTTTAACCACACTCTTAGTTAGCTGGCCATATAATACTTCAGTCTACGCTGCATTATTAGTTTTCAGTGTTCTCTAATAAACGTCTTGTTCAACTTCAAAGTCTTTGAAATCTGTGTTGAAGTGTATAATTAAATGTTTTGTTTTCATTTTACTGTGATATAGGTACATTTCTTTTTTGTCATCTACTATTGTAATTGGCTGATTTTTCTTTATGTTTTTTAATTGAATTTTAATTGTATTATATTTTAATGTGATGTTTATTTATGTGTTTCATTTTTTTTTTCTTCTTTTTCTGTTATTGTAACTGTTTGATTCTCTTTGATTTCTCTTTGTATGTGTGTTAAAGTAATTGGTTTAAAGCCGTGTTAACATCACAATAATAAATAAATAAATAAATAAATTCAAATATCAAAAGTCCACAGTAGCCTTACCAAAAGAAATCGAGTATACTTTTAAGTCGCGTCAAAAGACTGATTGTTTATTCCTGCACGGACAAATTTATTAGTGCGATCCACAAATTGTTGTTTCGGATCTGAGTGTGAGGTGTATGTGAAATTGTATGTTTATAAACGCACCCATGACATAGGAGAAAATCCTAGTGTGGGGCAAATTTAAAAACAAGAGCGTAACGCAAGATTCGTCATAACACTTAATGCGCCCTGGTTAAGCTTGAAACTTGTCGAGTTACCTTGTAAAAACATTTACATGAGTAAGCCGTAGAACATAATTAATTTAATATCTTATTATTATTTATAAGAACAAAGTTTTATATCAGTCACTATCGCATTAGCGATTATACGTAGAAGAATATTACATAATATATAAATAAATATGTATGTATTAATTAGGCGAGGACATTTTAAAGGGAATTGCGGCATTTGTGGCTGAGGTACACTCTCTATTAAGTATTTAAAATCCACTGTTCATGAAATACTTAATTTTTATGACATAATTATTATGATATGAAATTATAAATACATGAAATTAGGTACTTGCTTACGAGTCAAATTCAATACTTTTTTCAAACTGTCAGAAACGACAGTTTTCTATGAATTTTGTATGAGATTGTGTTTTGTAATGTCACGTTATTTAGCACCAAACAACATACTTATTTCTTAAAAATTTGCTAGAGAAATACTAAAATTAGGTTGGTCATAAAATCAATTAATGAAAGTTTGATTATTTGTTAACATTTTATTGTATTGAACAGTTGAAATAATTTATTTTTGATTAAGGTAAGTACCCATTAAGTATAGGTATGTTTATAAAAAAACTTTTAGCTGTAATCAATATATCAATATACGGTGAGAATATACGGTGTTTAGAAATCTTTATATATATAATTCTTCTGTGAATGTGTATGTCACTGAACTTCTCTCAAACGACTGAACCGATTTTGATGAAATTTTTTGTGTGTGTTCAAGGGGATCTGGGAATGGATTTTGCATTCAAGTGGATATGCAGGACAACGTCTGTCGGGTCTGCCAGCAACTTTACAAAGAGTGAACTTATTTCCAAGCACCATATATAATTCAAGATTGCATGATAGTTGTTCAAAAAATCATGACATCAGAATCGAAGCTGTTACTTATAGCTGAGACATAATTCGTCCTGCTACCTGCTAAATTATCTCACTTATTTACTCTTTAAAATGTCCTCCACATAAAATAAATTTGATCTTACTTTTTTATAAACTTAAGATTTACAACTAACTATAATCAATTGAAATGATTAACTTTAGCGATCCACAACATAAATAGAATAGAATACTTGAGATAACAATAAAATCTTCAGCCAAATCGAGTTCTATAGTTATAAATAGTGTAACAAACACGACTTTCTTTTAACATATTTATTATACATATAGATTTATCCACCCATAGTAAGCATATAACAATCGCAAAAATATATAAAAGACATAGAGCACAGGACAATTTCAAAATTTTTGTAAATCAAACCTGTATACTGATTACTATGCTATTACTGACAGATCGCATTACTCTCTATATTATCTGTGGTGTAGAGATCTTCAGTTTATGGTCTACAATTCTACATGGCCAACAGCTGCCCTTTTGTTTTAGTACAGACATATTCAAGTTTATAAAAATAAAATCTGCGCTTTGTAGATGGCGCCTCTGTAGTTTAAGATCCTGTCCGCGTTATAAAATGTAATGATATTAAGCCTTTGACTGCTGACAGAAAACTGCTGAAGGCAAATCCTCCGCTAACGTAGGTCACCGGTGACCTACGCGGCGGTTAACGTGTTGAAAATTCCAACTAATAATTTATTATGAACGCGAAAGTAATTTTTACTAATCTTTGGGAGTAAAGATAAGGAAATCTTACTAGTCTTCTTACATTATAAATGCGAAAGATTGTTGTTACTCAATCACGTCCGAACGAGTGAAGGGAACGGGATGATTGATAGATGATTTGGAACAGGTGTAGACTATGGTATCTAGTAATACATAGGCTACTTTTTATCCCAAGGATATTTTAGCGCAGGGCGACATCGCTGGCAGAAGCTCATAGGCTAATAAAATTATACCATAACTAGCTACTTCCGCGCTGTTTCACACGCTCTGCTCAGCTCCTATTGGTCGTAGCGTGATGTTTTATAGTCTATAGCCATCCTCCTATAGACTTGCAGTTACGGAGATTAGCGCGTTCAAACAAACGACCAAAAAACAAACTCTTCCGCTTTATATAATAGTATAAGATAAGTAATTTTATTATTGGTTTAGAGACCACAAACACTTACAGCGCCCTCTAGCTACGAATTCAAGAGCTATAATTACTGAATACATCTGTACTAAAACAATGTTAAAGTAATGTTTTGTTGATATACTGACGGCTACATACGAGTTTCTTTTACGTATCGCGACATCGAAACGAGACATCGTTCGGAGCTCTGAGGGCCAAGCACGAATAACTATCGCATTCGTATCGTAACAGTATCGAGCGAGTTAACCGTTCTGATTGGTTGGTTCACTTGAGCCGGCCAATCAGAGCGCCGAACGCGCTCGATACTATTACGTTACGAATGCAATAGTTATTCGTGCTTGGCACTCAGATTGGCCTGCTGCAATGAACTAAATCAGAGCTCAGAACGCAATCTTCTTAAACATAAAACCAACTCGTACTTAGCCCTCTGAACACCCAAATCATTACTTCAAAAGTCTCCCTTCGAAATACAATAATAAATAAATAACATAATAAATACATTAATTAAACTACATATTACAACTAAATCATACACCGTGAATTCTATTTCGTTTTCGGTGGCAAAACAAGTTGCCATAAGGAGTACTTTCGATGTATAAAGTAAAAAAAGACAAAGATATAATAAGTCAATTTATATTAAACTGTTAAACACCAAGCGGTCACCGGTGACCGCAACCTATTGTTCTTTAATTGTGTCTATAAATACGGTACTCGACGAGTTAAACTAGCGACCCGCCCCGGCTTCGCGCGGGTGCAATATGCATGTGTTATACATATAAACCTTCCTTTAAAAAAAACAGCATCAAAATTCGTGTAGTTTCAAAGATCTAAGAATACATAGGGACAGACAGACGGCGGATAGCGACTTTGTTTCATACTATTATAATGATAGTGAAATTTCGTGAGACGTAACTGATTGACGAGGAACACGACTAATTTAATGATGATGTTAGCATTGTGTATTTATATTAGACTATAAATCTTGCAATTACATGGAAATACGCACATGAAACACTAGACGTAAATTTGTAGGCACTACTCGCATCGAACGTGCCACCCGACGAGAAATGCCTATTCGAGACGACATGGTATGATGTTTTGATGAATGTACTATGAGTTCGTAAGCGCTTTCGAAGTTTGCATTTTGCAATAGTTCTCCAGTTACTTTTTCAATATTTTATTTCTTTGTATTACCAAGACAAAACTATTTTACTTCGGGACGAAAACGAAATAGATTTCACGGTATTTATTTTGTGCTTATTATATCGCGTTACAGTTGCTAGCAACATGTTACAAGCATTCGTTATGTTATTTTCTTAGTTACGGATATAAAATAATTAAAGAAGTCACTAGACATATTTTAAGAAGTCTGTAGGCATATTTTAAGAAGTCTATAGTTATTTTAAGAAGTCTATAGTTATTTTGGTGCATGTATAATCATATTATTGACAGATTAGCCTATACAAACACAATGTATAAATCATAAGTGATCATAATAAGAGGGTAGAACAAGTAACTACATGTCTAACGACTTCTGAAATATGACTTCAGACTTCTACTAAATGTTTAATGCTATAGATCAAGTGACTTACAGGACATTATACTAAATCATACTATTAATTTAATGAAATAATTAAATTAAAGAATAACCTTTATATTTCACCTTTATCATTCAGTGTAATGTAATATTTTAAAAACAAGGCAATAATAACCGGAAAGGAACTATCAATTCATACATATTTTCGAAATATATTTATTAAAGGTTAAATAAATATATGAAAACTGACTATTCCTTTCATGTTTACAATATTTATCTTACACTACCACATAGGCTCCGATTTCAGTTAGCTCCGCAACGTTGTTTACCAACGAAACTTATAATTAAGAGCTCCGTTTTAGCTCGAAACTAGTCGAGCGATACTCGAAAATTTTAAATTACGTTCTTTAACATTAAAAACTTAGTATAATGTCCTTTGAATCACTTAATTCATAATCGACATGTTAAATATGGTAAAAATAGAAGCGGCTACATACAATAAGGTTTGCGACACACGAAGAACACCGAGTCGTATTCATGTTGCATCATGGAGTTGGGATTCTGGGCGTATTTCGTTTTAACACCTGTTTGTTCTTTCTGTTAACAATTAGAATAATAATTACTTTATAAGCACATACACATGCACATAAGTGTGGGAGAGCCATGCTTCGGCACGAATGGGCCGGCTCGACCGGAGTGATACCACGGCCGAGCAGAAAACCGACGTGAAGCAACGCTTGCGTTGTGTTTCGTCGTGTAAGTGAGGTTACCGGAGGTCCAATTACCCTCCCCATCCCCTATCTCCCAAATCCCTGAATCCCCAACGATCCTCAGACTCCTAACCCCCAAAAGGCCGGTAACGCACTTGTAACGCCTCTGGTGTTCAAGGTGTCCATGGGCGGCGCCGATTGCTTACTATCAGGTGATCCGTTGGCTCGTTTACCGGCCTATGCCATAATAAAAATCATAACACACGCCTTTTAACCCCGAAGGGAAAGGCAGAGGTGCACATTACGGCACTTAATGCCACTGTACAATATAACACCCATTTTTCACTATTTATGTTTATGAGGACACAGCCTCTTGAGACAACGACTGTGGCACCTGACTACTATAGACTTACACGCAGAACATACATTGACACGAAGGACATCTGTCATTGTCTTAAGTCTCGTAACGTGGTAACCCATTACACACGCACACATAAATAAACCACTGACAATTTGGTGCTTCAATCGTTTCTAAGTGACTTCTTTTCAACGACCTTAGAATTAATAGAATTAATAAATTACTTTAGTCAAATCCTAGTTAGCATGAAATAATAATAATAAAGTGTTTGTACTCATAGTATTCTACTCACCAATATATCAAATCCTATATCCCTTATAATCTCCAGTAATATGTCATACGGCGGCTCGATACTGTTCTCCGTCGGCATGTCACTGCAAATTAAAGGGGTAAAATCATCGAATGACTGCTCCCGCCTGGGTGAGGCGAATATCAATTAATAGATGCAAAATTAGAATAAAAGATGTCGGTTAAAAAATTAAATTAAGTTGCATTAATTTACTTGAATAAATTAGCAATAGATTAATTAGAGGAAAAGAAAACACTGCAATATCATATGAAACTAAAATGAAATTAACATCAAAAATCAAAATTAAATGAAATTTTACCCCTCGAGCGTCCTTATGAGCACCCGGTGGATCATAAGAAAAAATGCTCCATGCTGCTTTCTCTTTTATAAAATCTATTATTAATGTTTTGTTTTTATTTTGACTGTATTTTTTATTTCTATTGTAATGATCCTTGTTTTCGTGTGCCAATGGCCAAATAAATGCATTTTCTTTCTTTCTTACTTTCTCCAAATGTCACGTGTGCACCCGTTGGATCATAAGGAACGCGGACGCTCGACGGGTTAAAATAAATTAAATTATAAACAAATTAAATTTCAAATTGCATCTCACTTTATAAAAAATATTCAAATTGAATAATTTGAAAAGAACATTGGAAAGATAGGAGAAGTATTTTAGAAAATCAGCAGCTGTAGCCATATACCATTTAGCGCTTGTCTACATGTAGAATAGAAAACCAAATTATACGGCATTGTCTGTATATACAAAATGGATGCAGATTGCAGCGTAATGTGCATGTTACTAAGGTTGTTATTGTGTATGGTAACATTAAGAGATGATTTTTTAGTTTATGATAAATGTTTTCTTTGTTTGTTTGTTTCTTTCTTTTTTTAGATAATATAAGTATGTCCTGGTTTTTTTTTTGTTCTTAATAGTATAAGATATGGAGTGTTTTTTTTTAAGGGGCGAAAATCATCGAATGACTGCTCCCGCCTGGGTGAGGCGGAAGGGAGTGTCAGACTCTTACTGACTAAAAACCACCCCGTACCTTCTCCTGCACGTCGAGCCGGAGCCCCGGTAACCCGTTAGGTTCTCCGCAACGATTAAAGGGTCTTTTTTTTAAGGGGGGAAAATCATCTACGTCATGCTCCCGCCTGGGTGAGGCGGAAGGGAGTGTCAGACTCTTACTGACTAAAAACCACCCCGTTCCTTCTCCTGCACGTCGAGCCGGAGCCCCGGTTACCCGTTAGGTTCTCCGCGACTCCGAATCGGCATCGGCCCTATTGGGCCCCATCTGTGGTGGTCTGATGGCTCTTTGAGGCGCGCGCAGAACGCGACGCGCCGTATGCTAAGATATGGAGTGTACAATTCCGAAATAACGAATTTATTATTATTATTACATATTATATTGACGTAAATTTTGACACTTGTCAGTGTCATCCCCATACATTTTGATTTCTACTCTCTCTGTAGACAAGCGCTAAAGTGGCGTTTGGCTAAAGGCACAGAACTGTGTAGGATGTTATGACATGATGATGAAAGTAGACACAATCGAACAATCTCCAACTTACCTATAATGGTACAATAGAGGTCCTAAATTGATCCAATACCCGCCCGGCTGCAGTATAGTGTATATCCTCTCAATGAACTCGATCACGTTCGGCGCGCAATCTATGAAGAAGCACGTCGCTACACACGACCATTCATCTGCTTCTGTGTATACCTGAAAAAAATATTCATTTTCATCAATTAAAGTAATTGACTGCCTCGTGGTCGCAAGTGTGACTGCCGGGCAAGGGGTCTTGTGTTCGATTCCCGGATCGGGCAAAGTACTACTGGGTGTTTTTAAAAATTCTAAGTTGTAGCACAGAGTCTGGAATTGTGCCCAGTATACGGCAATATGCTCACCCCCTATTACATGGGACTCATAACATAAATAGTGAAAGTGGGTGTTACATTGTACAGTGGCATTAAGTGCCGTAATGTGCACCTCTGCCCACCGCGCTTCGGGGTAAAAGGCGGGATGTTATGTTAACGTAATAATTACTTTCCGCGAGTGTCGTAATAGCTGATTAAGACTGCACATTTGATATGTAAAAAAACCGGGCAGCACTTTCTGATAGACCTGGGCGCTTATTCTTGAAACCAATCTCAATGTCAATGCAATTCCAATCCAATAAAATCTCAATAATTATCTAATGTTAAAACTATACAACCCTATGTAGCTATTAAAATAGCATTCTGAGTACGGAATATAAAGCCAACCACAATAACATTTAGTTCATTCAATATCCACGCAATACGGATGCAATGGGCGCTAGTGTGGAAACTCAAGAGTACGAAATTTCACAATATGAGAGCGAGGTTATCGAATGCCCAATTACCCCTTCCCCCCTCTCAATCTCCCTCCAATCCCTGAATCCCTAACAATCCTTAAATTCTTAATTACGCCACTAGTGTTTTAGGTTTCCATGGGCGGCGCCGATTGCTTACCATAAGGCGATCCATCGGGTCGTTTACCAGCTTATAGTAGTTCCACAGATTCGCATATTAAACAAATTTCAGCTGTATTTGTTTGTTATAAAACAGGACTGTCCAAACAAAGGCCCGGGGGTCGCATGCGACCCGCGTCTTGTTTTCATGTGGCTATACACATTTTAAGTCAAAGTCAAAGCGTTTATTGCAACTAAGTGTACAGATGATGGTTATAAAATTATTACAGTGCTTAATACTTAGCGGCCTCTTACAGACATTGCAACATTTTTAGTTATGTAGGTACACATTCATTGTTATTAACATTGTAGGTAGATATTACAAATCATAAAGAAAAGAAAAAAAATTATAATTGTCAGGTATATGTCACATCATAGTAATAATCAATTCAATAGGTATAAATATTAATTTCAACATATTCATCTTATGTGCAACAATAATAAAATTCAGTGTATGATTTGTCTACAAGTATTGTCTATAAGTAAAGAATACAATGTTAAAAGTCATTATACAACTGAAAATATTTATGTGGCCCTCCAGCTTTTGTAAGAAATTCAATTAGCCCGCGAGGGTGTATAGTTTTGACAGCCCTGTTATAAAACATCACGCTACGTTCAATAGGAGTCGAGCAGCGGTTGAAACCGGGAGGAAGTAGATAATCCTTACTAGTCCTTATCCTTACTAATATTATAAATCGGAAAGTGAGTTTGTTTGTTTGCTCCGCTTGAACGCCGTAACTACTAAACCAATTGCTTTGAGATTTTGCAGACGTAAAGTTAGAAGTCCGGATTAAATAATAGGGTACTTTTTATCCCGGAAAAATTTGATATTCCCGAAGGAAAACAAAAGAATTGGTATAGATGGCGCTGTGTGTATGGTATAGGCTACTTTTATCCTTTTATGACGCGAGCGAAGCCGCGGGTAAAAGCTAGTATTACATATAAGAAAGTATAGATTGTAATACCGGCCTAAGACAAGACTAAAGAAAAATAAACTTACTTTCAGAAAGTCGCCGGCCGTCATAGAGAAGTTATGATTGGGCCTGTTCCCCGACGGACAGACGTCGGGGAAGCGAGCCGATATGAGCTGGTGTTCACACGTTATATTGTTCACGTACTGATGCACCCACGGATGCACTGTGTATTTGTTAATCTGAAATTATAAGGAAAATGTTCTTCAAATACAATGTATGTAGGTCATTGGTCAAAAGCCACCGTGAGTGATGTTCACACGGCAATGCGTAAGTAATATCATATTAATGTGCATAAAGACGCGTGCGTACGCATAAACACACGCACGCGTACGCACACGGATAAAAATATGCGTGCGCATGTGGGTATAAGCGCTGCAGCGCAACCGATAGTAGTCTTACGGTGGCAGTGGACTTTTGATCTTTGACCGTACATACATTGTAACAAAATCACGATGTATTTTCTGAACTACAATATTTTTTCGTTGGGTATTTTAAAATTGTTGTAATTTTAAATACAATTATTTTAGTGTGTTGCGCAACAGTTGCGCAACATTATGTTGACTAATCTGACATCAATTTATTTTCTTCCAATAGTTTGTAAGTGATTCAACCATGGCAACAAGCAGTCTTGCCTACTCGGAAGAAAGAGAAGGCAAGAGATAAAATGTTTGCGCAACATTATTTTACAAACCACTGCTATTTTTCGGTTACTAACTTAGAACCGCCGCAAAGTATCGCGGGTTTGATTCCCTTACGGAACAACTCTTGGTGTGATCCACAGATTGTTGTTTCAGGTTTGGGTGTCATGTGTATGTGAACTTGGTTGTTTGTAATCGCACCCACAACACAGGAGAAAATCTTAGTGTGGGGCAACAATTTAAAAAAAATAAAATAAAATGGAACTAAAAGTTAGCGTACTATTAAGTACCTAAACTAAACCAAATATGTACCAACATCAAACCAATATAAACCTTATAGAGGCCGTACAAATATTACGCAGATTATTTACAATTATTTACTCCCCCCCCCACCACCATCTTGTAAGCAAAGATCTTACCCCCTCCCCCTTTGCTTACGTAAACATTTTAAATTATATCTTTTTACATTGTAATTTTAATATTCTCCAAATACCATAATGTCTCGTTCTTTGTCGGTCCTTTTAATTTATTATTTCAATATGAGGGTTGCCATTCGTGTAAAAAAGTAAATAACTACCGATGACGTAATCATCATCTAGACTCCCATACCCCCATATCATCCGAAATAAGCAAAACAGAGACCCCCCCCCCCCACCCTCCCATGGTGCTTACGTAATACTTGAACGGCCATATACAACACAGCAAAACTCAAAACGACATACCTCAGTGCATCTGTTGAGTATAAAGTTGCTTGCGAACAGCATAAAGAGCGAGAATTCATTGCCTTGGCAGGAATAGCCTCGCGCAGCCACTTCCCACGCGAGCCGGCCTAGACCTGCGCCGGGAACTAGGACTCGGATCTGAGATCTATCACTGGGGACGAGAGATAGACATTAGAGTGGAGATTGAGTGAATGAAAAAGGGGAGCGTGGGATTTGGAGAGACTGAGCGTTAGAGAGGGTACCTATTCTAAATATTGTGAAGGAAATATCGAATGCGAGAGTAATAAAGAGACAAAGGAAGATGGGTGTTAGATAAAGGAGTATGTAAGTTTTAACCCCCCCCCCCCTCTTCAATGACCTTTTACTTTCTCTACTTTCACAGGGAGTGTTCATTTAGATTCCAAAATTTTTTCCTTACCTATATAGGATTATGGAACAATTAGTCCTATTCTAGTTAAGTAGTCAACAGCCTTAACGTGTTATTAATATCTTATGATTTATTTCGTTGCGGGATGCAAGACAGTTATTCATGTTAAGTAAAAACGCGGGTTACTCACGTGAATATACTTAGAAAAGCTCTACTAGTTTCGAACCACAGAGGGGTTCTTCCTCATGAGCAGCGTGCGCGGTCGCGGCGACGTCGCGCAGCTAACTGGCTGGCGTTGGCGCTCGCCTCGGTGTTGCCACTTGCGCTGCAAGCTTAACGCGCCCTCTATCGGATACTACGAGCGTTTGCTATCAACTCCGGCGGCGCGTTGGACGATGTTAAAGCACACGGTACGTTCACCAGCGGCGCGGGTCGTAGTAGAGCTTTTCTCAGTATATTCACGTGAGTAACCCGCGTTTTTACTTAATTTAGTATGTCTCACGATAGTTATTATAAAAACAGTTATTCATGTCCCTGGGACGCACCGGACTTCAGTGTTCCGGTGTTTTCATGTTTGTATCTACTATATATCGTGGCTTACAGAAGTTGCAGCGGTTTTGGGAGGTTGTGGCGAGCTAGTACCATTAAAAAAAGCCTTAACTACGAGACACCTAAAAAATAAGTGTTACCTATATTCGTCCAATGAGAACCGTTCCTCCATTTCGTCTAGTATGGGCTTGTAGCATTGTTTCCTCTCTTCGGCACCCATGTCGCTCCAATCACGGACTATGTTTTTTAAAACTGATTGTACCTGGAACAGTATTATAGTAACTTAACATAATTTTATAATTATAGTAATGACATTAAGTGACAGCATCCCCAAAGTAGGCAGACGTGCAGATTACTACACTTAATGGCACTGTACAATGTAACACCCACTTTTCACTATTTATGTTATGAGTATCATGTAATAGGGGGTGAGCCTATTGCCATATGTATATCGGGCACAATTCCAGAGTCCGTGCTACCACTGAGACTTTTTTAAAAACCCAATAGTACTTTGCCCGACCTTCCGACCGACCGACCGACCGACCCACCCTTTGATTGTACAGTGGCATTACGTTACGTTACGAGACGATTCAATTTTAGGGCAACGTTTCTTTAAAAAAAAATGTACGCATAAGTGCACCTTTGAATACCCCTTCGGCGATTATCAGGCCTTTTTTTTTAAGGATAGGGAAATCATCGAATGACTTCTCCCGCCTGGGTGAGGCGGGAGCGAGTGTCAGATTCTTGACTGACTAAAAACCACCCCATCCGTCCCCTGCACGTCGAGCCGGAGCCCCGGTAACCCGTTAGGTTCTCCGCGACGATTATCAGGCCTAACGTTAAATAAACAAATAATACGTACCTTCTCAACATCATGTTGCATTTTATGCTGTTTCTGCGATGCAATCTCACAATTATTATAATTACATCCAAAGCTCTCGACGCCATTAGTTCCAGACGTATCAGTGACCGAATGATCAACATTTTCAAACATTGTGTCAACGTCTTTAATTATCGAATGTACTACATTATTGTTTGTGTCTAAACATTTCTTGAATTTCGCCAAATAAGTCTTATATTTTTCCAAGCGACGCTGGTGATTTTGTGGTAGTATTGATATTATTTTCTCTGATTTGTGTATCCTGTCTAAGCTGCATAGTCTGTAAAGAAAAATATTGTCAAATTAATTTCAAATCTATTAAATTTTATGGTAAGCCTTTCGTGAGACATACTAAATTAATAGGGACGATGACAGTGTATGAAAATTAAAAATCTAATTAGTCCGTCAGTTAGTTAATGAAAAAATATTAGACACGTATTTTTTTATTTTGTCGTATAAGAAAACAATACTTCGATAAAACGAATCAAAGTTTAGGAGTGGGAGGTAGCTACGTCATTTTAGAGTATAAATCGTGCTCAAAAGTGACGTCATGCGATATTTTAAATCGATATATCTTCGAAACTATTCGTTTCCGTAAGAAAATAAAAAATACGTGTGTAATGTTTTTAAATAATCTACCAGAAAATTAGTCACTTCTCTTATTGTTATGTGTTTCGGCTTTCACAAATTTAATGGACGAGGACCTAGACTAGTTTCAAACAAGTTGAACGTTTGAAAATTTAACGTAAGCCAAAAATCATTATAATTAAACTATTACATTTTGTAAGAATTGTTTTCATATTATTATCTTTCCGCCCGCGCTCGCGTAGTTAACACCATAATAAATTATACTCCTTAACTTTTCTCAGGAATCACACTGTCTATTTTTGATAACCGCATAAAATTCTGTCCAGTAATTTATAAGTTAATCGTATAGACAAAGGTCCTATGTAGGACTTCTTTTTCTCTTATGTTTGTATGTTTATCAATCTGGGTGAAAAGCATAAATATAGATTATAGTCAGGAACAACAATATATAGAAACATTTTCTCGACAAAGCCGCTGACAAATGTTAATAATTGCATAAATATAAGTGGCGAGCCCCTTAGAACGTAACATCAAACCACAAATAAACAACTTCGTACAATAAGATATCTGAATCATATTTTTTTCCTTATACAGTTTACACGTGTCAAGCGCTTAAGGCAACATTTAATTATGTATCGCGCGTCACAACTGCGAAGGAGGTAGGTAGACATATAGGTATTGTTGTTATACGGTAAGTAGACATATGTACAAAGTATAAAATAGGTAAATATTATGTACTATCTAATCTATTACCACATTCACGTGAACAACACAATAACCTTTTTGCAGCTTACCACCTACCACATACATTTCTGCACTACCCAAAGGAGGATTGGCAGAGAATGCTGTTAGCATTACGTAGTACGCAATAGGGTAGATGCCTAATTTTTATTTTAATGTCCGTCTGGTAGATTATTTTAAAACATTATACACGTATTTTTTATTTTCTTACAGAAACGAATACTTTCGACGATATATTGATTTGAAATGTCACGTGACGTCACATCTATGCACATTTTATACGTAGAAATGACGTTTTAGCCCCCCAATCCTAAACTTCGATTTGTTTTATCTAAGTATTGTTTTATTACACGACAAAATAAAAAAACACGTGTCTAATATTTTTTCATTACCTAACTTACGGAGTAATTAGATTTTTAATTTCCATACCTTGTCATCATCCCAATTGTGAAAAACTTAAATAAATAAATATACAACAGACGACAAACACTCCGTGATAGTTGACTGATTGACTGCTAAACTATGGGCCATATAAGAAGGGTTTACCGGTATATCCACCTTTCTTAAGGGGGGAAAATCATCCAATGACTTCTCCCGCACGGGTGAAGCGAAAGGGAGGGTCAGACTCTTACTGACTAAAAACCATCCCGTTCCTACTCCTGTACTTCGATCCGGAGCCCCGGTAACCTTTTACGTTCTCCGCAGCTTCGTATCGGCATCAGCCCTATTGAGCCCCATCTAGTATCTCCATCTTGGCAGACGAGTCGAAAATCGCCGTCTACAAGGTTCAGGTTTATAGAGAGCTCTGTTGTCCAGTCTCTGATAACTGTGTAGTATTTTCAACACCCTCGGAAAGAAAAAGTGTGATGATAAATGTATTCTATTCTTCCTGTCTATATTTTTAAGGAGGGAAATATCATCAACTAGCTTCTCAAGCCTTGGGTAAGGCGAGAGAAAGTGTCACTCTTACTGCCTCTACTCTTATTCCTGCTTCGACCAGGAGGAAAGTAATCTTCATTTAGAAATGCTGCGTGCAATTTATACCTACCTACTAACCGACCCCTTCAGAAAATGAAAGTCGTGATTAAACAATAATCATAAAACGACACGAGTTCCCAATGACGTATGTATGTGCAAGCCGCTGCCAATGAATATACGTCATAACGTTAAAAATATGAAATAAATACCACATTCACTTAAATACAATGTATCATTTGTAAATGTAATAATATACAGTCACTTTACTATAATAATGTTTACTGTACATACATAGATTAACTATTTGATCTAGTCTTTGCAGGTGCGACTTTTGATCAGTTTTTGATTTATACCTGGGTCAGTCAAATATTATGTATTTAGTAGCAACTGCCAGGATTGGCCGCATAAAGCTTTACATGCAGTGGGACGACCATGGCTGAAAATAAATAAATAGTAGCAACTGCTAGCTGCCTGGTGACGGTACAGACCACTTCAATTCTTCGAGCAGACGCGGACTAAACCCTGAGATCGCCCTTTTTATATATATATATATATATATATATTTGATGGGGCGACGTTTGACCACTATCTCGCCAGGTGGTAAGCGATGATGCGGTCTACAATGGAGCACGTCGTCCCATAACCTGTCCTTTGGCCAGCATCTTATAGGCGATCCTATTTTTTCTGGCGCTGCCGGCACTTTTAAGGGCAATTGAGCACGCGCGGCTCGCCTCTCCATAACCTGGCTCCTGGCGCCCTAGGCAGTGTCCTAGTTTGCCTTAGGGACTAAGGATAATATGGCTCTGTGATCTGCTCCAGAGCTAGAGCCAAAAGAAGTCGGTAATAAAGGACAGCACATTTTACAGACGCTGAATAGCAGCAGCACTTTGTGAAACTGCCATTTACTGCTAATTCCAAGCCAATCTGTAAGAAAGATTATGGCAAACCCCACTTATCTACATATCCTATACTATCAGACTCCACAAGAGGACTAGCAGCAACGAACTGCCACGAGGTATGGATGTGAACGACGCAGATGGCGTAAAATATAGATACCTTTGTTTAATATATAGGGGAATAACAGGATTGACATTGTTACAATGTAAACGATAAATATAGGTGAAACATCACACAAGTAATGTAGATACAAATATTTATTAGTTATTCAATTTAGATAATACATTAGTAAATACTGGTCGATTCCAAATCAGAATGGAAATGTGCTAGCCATGTATATTCAAATATCAACTTTATTACACTATGTTTAAGGATTGTTTTAATAAATAAACTAGAAAATTTATAAATTAAATATACTATTTAGAATTCAGAACAATAATTATTGTCCTTAATAGATAATTGTCCTGTTTTCCTATGCTGCTTTGGTTGATTGATGCAAATAAAACTGCTAAACATGTGATCCTGTGCCCAAAATCAGGAGGCTTACTCTTAAATCCAATTCCGATCGACCGACATTGGTATTATGAAATTTCGTATCGCCCATTGCATCCGTATTGGTTTTTTTTTAAGGGGGTAAAATCATCGAATCACTCCCTCCCGCTCGGTGTGAGGCGAGAGGAAGTGTCAGACACTTACTGACTAAAAACCACCCCGTTCCTACTTCTGCCCTTCAAGCCGGAGCCCCGGCAACCCGTTAAGTCCTCCGTGGCTATCATCATTGGGTGGATATTGAATGAACTAAATGGTATTGAGTTTGGCTTTATATTCCGTACTCTGAATGCTACTTCAACAGCTACAATTGTTGTGGTATAGTTTAGACATTGAATCAATTATTGACATTTTAATGGATTTAAATTACAATGAGATCGGTTTTAAGAGTAAGCACGCAGGTCAAGAAAATGATAGACTTTTCATTTTTTAATAACAAATCTCATTGAAGTCAGACCTATGTTTAGCGTGTTTTTTGCCCCCATTCCCCAATCAATGAAATCAAGACTAAAGAGTATCTATGGGTATGGATAACACAAGAAAAGTTAGTGGTAAACTAAATTAACATAATTTGGATGCAACTGGAAATTAAAATTACTTGTAGATACATGACAGAACCATAGAGATTTTATTTAAATATGCTTATCTATGGTAAAAATAATATTGGTAATGGATGTACCTATTGCTAAGAATACATACATACATAACATCACGCGTTTTTATCCCCGAAAGGGTAGGCAGAGGTACACATTTCGGCACTTAAACTGTCAAACACCAAGCGGTCACCGGTGACCGCAACCTATTGTTCTATAATGACGGTACTCGACGAGTTAATGCCATTGTACAATGTAACACCCACTTTACACTATTCATGTTATGAGTAGTAGCACGGAGCTATCACTGAGATTTTTTTTAAACCCAGTAATACTTTGCCCGACCCGAGAATCGAACCCGAGACCCCTTGCCCGGCAGTCGCACTTGCGACCACTCGGCTAATGAGGCAGCTAAGCTTGCTAAGAATACTTGAAAAATACTGTAAAACATGAACCTGTGAATTAACTAATTAGCATACATTTTAGTATGTATTTGTAAATTGAATATTGTGTATTGATTTCCCATGTTCTAACTTTTCAGATACTGAAAATTGTATTAGACGTTATGATTTAACACATTACACTATTTTTCCAAAGGTTGAGTGTATTTTCAGGTATCTGATAGCCATGATTCAATACAAATGGGCTCAAAAAGCAAATTGTTTACAATCAAGTTTACTGTAATATTATTTATATAATATAATAGTTTCCTGAAGTTTCTGTATGGCAATAGGTTCACCCCCTATTACATGGGAATCATAAAATAAATAGTGAAAAGTGGGTATTACATTGTGCACCTCTGCCTACCCCTTCGAGGATAAAAAGGCATGATGTTATGTTATGTCAAATTTCCTGTATTCTAACTTATAAGATATTGAAAATTGTATTAGATGTTGTGATACAATACTCAATTTTTTTTTTAATTGAATCTGATATGTAACTTTAGAATAACTCTTAACCCGTATATCCACAAGCGGTCACCGGTGACCGCTCTCCACTAACTACATTATAGACCTTATTTCCAATGTTTAGAGACTAATTTCGTATGAACAAATTTAGGGGCTGATTTTCAACAATTTTCAATGTGTAATGATCCCATATTATATATAGGGACATATTATATAGGGACAACCCATATCGTTAAAGGCGTTTGATAAGGAACCCGACTATTTTCAAGCCACGCTAGAGGCATTCGTGAACAGCATTCCGCAAACCGCGACACGATGATTGTCACGCTGCTACTCATATAAATATGAGCCTCTAGCTGGCTAGAACTAGTCGAGTTCCTTGTGAAACTGTTACCTGAGTAAGCCGAAATAATAGTAATTAATTGACTACACATTTGATTAAGATTGGGCAACTGATAAACCTGAACTTTAAACTATCATCCATCATCCATCTCTTGTGACAATCTGTCTCATGTGAGAAAGGCCCAAAATACAGTAGTGGAGTATCAAAGACTGATGATGATGATGATGTGATTAAGTTGGTCATTTATTATTTACTAGCTTCTTCCGCACGGTTTTACACGCTCTGCTCCTATTGGTTGGAGCGTGATGTTTTATAGCCTATAGCTATCCTCGATAAATGCGGTATCCAACACAAAAGAATTATTCAAATCAGACTTGTAGTTACAGAGATTAGCACATCCAAACAAACAAACAAACAAAAAACAAACTCTTCCGCTTTATATAATGGTATAAGAGTATAAGATTTTATAAAGGCTTTGGTCGTCCTATGAAAGGCCTAATATGCAGCTGGCTCAAGCGGATGCAAGTCAGTACCTGCACCCACTAGGTGCCTGTTGGGATTTTCCATAATGCCAGTGCACTTGAGGTGATTCAGAAATTATGATTCAACAGGGTTACTAACTGTACAATTAGATTGTGAAATAATTATAAATTTTTGTGTTATTCAATATTCCTTTATGGTTTTCTTGGCTTTATCCATCAATTTAATTTATTTTAATTAATAAGTCTAACCAGGTAGGTGTGTAGATTATATATTTAGATTGATCAACAGTATCATTATTATTCATACTTTTGGTCCTAAAGGGTTTTCTATAAGACTTTATGTTTATCTATTTTTATAACATAGAGTCGCATAATTCTATCAATAAATACCATGTAAAACTTAATGAGTAAAGTAAATAACTATTGGAATATTTGTATCAATCAAGCATTTCAAAACAAATAATAATATACAGCACAAAAATTGCCCTATTTTTGTTCACCACCACAGAGACTACAGCAAAGAGGATAATATATATAAACAAAGGAGTTTCGGTTTCTATCTAAATAGGTTAATTAGATCGTCCGATTTGATCAAACAAAGAACTTGTTGCTACCCAGAATTTTACACCGTTTCACACTCCAAACTATTTATAGAATCGTTACAAACCAATTCTGAGGGCTAAAAAGGCGTATTGTACGCATATAAATTGAATAATTACTTACTTATAATATTTGAAAGCGGTGACAACGGCGCGAAAATGCTCCCGTTCTTTCGCCTCATCAATTTCTTCCGCTGGTGATGCTGAAGACATTTTTACGCGACTGTTATGTACACACCAAAACTTATTTTATTAGGTAGTATACAATAGAATCACAAATTCGTCAGGAATTTGAGGAATTCGTATATTTTTTTATAAAATTCAACACCGACCAAGCCTTTCTCAAATGACGGAAGATCGACAGATATTAGTGACGTTCCACTTGCGACCAACTAGATTCTAATAAGAATCGATAACTCAATTCGTCAATTAAAAAACACCGGCTTTACTGAGAGTGAGAATTGTTAGCCCAATTAGCCTATGGGACGAAGTGATAATTTTGAAACTGAAATAAATTTAAAAACTTATTTAGACCTAAATTCATGCTATAACAATCTTAAAACCACTTAAATAGTGTTGTACACAATCATAATCATTATCGATTGCAGCAAATCTGAACAAATTTAGAATCTGTAATGAATTATTAAGTTAAAAAAATCTATTTATTCATCAAATAAAGGACTGAAAAATATGAAATCATATTTTTTAATAGGAACAAAACAAAAATATTGTAATTTTTTAATGAGATAAGGCTGACCTGACAACGAGGAAACGAAACGGCTTCAATCAAAATGTCTGGCGTAGTGTGTTTGTCAACATTCTATTGATTTTTCCTGTTATATTATAGAAATCAAGTTAAGTAATCAACACAACATCAAAATCAATCGCAATCAGTTATTTAATTAACAAACCACTTCCGCATTGCTAATTCAGTGCTATCACACGTCAACAAACTTGAAAAATACAACTTTCACAAGAGTACGCTAACTGCGACATAAAAATAATCATTAATTCACTATTTATAGTATATTTTTAATGTTTAATACTTAGAAAAGTGTGTGAAAAGTTCATTACCTAGTAAAGTGTTAGAATATACAGTGTAATTTGCGTTTAATTACTGCATTCCACCATATGATAGTGAAGGCAGAAAAATCGATATTTCTGCAGTGTCTCCGTTGCTAGGCTGTAGCGCTTACTACATGCAGTGCAACATACACGCGTGACGACTTAATTTCTCTCTAACATGACGTGAGTAACAAAGTTTTTGTTACAAACCATCTAAAAACATGATGGAAGGAATTATATCCTACAGAGTGACACCACTTCTGAAATGCATAGTGCTGTTCCTGTTTATTTTTACGGCAAAGGTACTCACTTCTCGGCCTCAAGAATCTCAAGATATAAGGAATGGCATTCATCACCTAAAACCATCCCACTATGTGAGAACTTTTACTAAGTACCATCACAGGAGAACTATTCAATGGAATAATCAACAAGATTTGACTAATGAGTGGCCAGTTGTAAATGATCATCCAAGAGTTATAGGGAAGAGAAGTGCTGATTTCCCCAACTACGTAGAAGTAAGAGATGTCTCTAAAGTATACCAACATGCTAAATTATTGAAGAAACGAAGCATACCAGATGATGCTTTTGAGAAAAAAGTTTCTAAAACTCCTATCAAGCGTAAATACTGGCCAGCAAGACATATGAGGATTGAAAAGAGGAGTTTAGATGTTCCGAATTCAAATGAATTTGTGGGGTCTTCGCAGGAGATCCACAGACTTGATCATTTCACTTCGGATACTGTAAGGGAGAACATCGTTGGGTCATTTGAGAAGAAAGCTATTAGTTCAGGTAGAGATAAAGGAAAGAATGGCTTGTCAAATGATATCAAGATGTATAAAGTAAAAGCGGCTGTAATACCAACTGAAGAACCGACGACTAAAGGTCCCACAATATCATGTTTGTACAAAATTCATGATAGCGTGGCTATGAGTGTCACTCCTTCATATGCTGATGAGAGGAATGCTCAACTGATGGTTGTGAATGACAGTTTTGGTAGGTAAAACTTTTTAAACTTCAAATATTACACTTTTAAAACTACAAAGGGGTGGGCAGACGTACAATGCACATGCATATACTATACCAGTTATAGTTTTTTTTACTAGTTATGAGTTCCATATGTTATTTATAGTTATGGTACTTAATACCTCACACTGGGTCTACGTCCAGACTAAAATTTTTTGATTAACTAAACATAATTCTTGAGCCATACTCATTGGCAGAGTGATCGCAAGTGCGACTGCCGGGTAAGGGGTCTTGGTTCTGGTTCCCAGGTTTGGCAAAATATTACTGGGTTTTTCTTCAGTAGGAGTGTGGAGACTGGAAATGTGCCTGATATATGGCACTAGCCTGGTCGCCTATTACATGGGACTCATAAAATAAATAATTAAAAGTGGGTGTTACGTTTTACAGTGGCATTAACCCTTTGAGTACCATCATAGAACAATAGGTTGCGGTCACCGGTGTCCTCGCAGTGTTTGACAGTTTAAGTGCCGTAATGTGCACCTCAGGAATCGAACCCGAGTCCTCATGCTCAGTAGCTCACACATGCAAACACTCCAACAAGACAAGACACTTAAATGATTCTAAAATAAGTTCATTATTTTTCAGAAACTGGTCCCATATCGGAGACAACTCTCCCCAATGGAGAAGTGGCACAAATAGAGCAGTGCACAGGTACTAAAGCTTCATGCTATACTCTGTGGCATCAGGACAAGGACGCCAATATCACTGTGTTGGGCCAAGGTAAGGGATAGATAATAATAATAATAATAAAGCCTTTATTAATCCAAAACATCGGTTACCGTTAGAAAAAGAACATTAAGTATTAACATTATAAGCTAAATATGTCGTGGCCTCTTTTGGGGTATAGGCCTCCTCCAGTTGCCTCCATTTTTCCTGTCTGTAGCTGTTTTCACCCAGTTTCTTCCTGTTATTTCTGGTATGTCATCGACCCAGCGAGCTGTTGGTCTGCCCTTTTTTCTTTTTACTCCAAGACCTCCAGGGCCGTTCCAAATGGTTGCTCGCTTCACCCATCTGTCTGCAGGGAAGCGGGCGATGTGTCCTGCCCATTTCCATTTTAAGCGTAGTGCATGTTTCAGTGCGTCTATCACTTGGGTTTTTTGTCTTATTTTTTCGCTATTTTCTTTATCTACAATTTTTATACCGATAGATAGACTAAGGATAGATATACTTTATTTATTTTTATAGAATAAAATAGCACGCTATTCTATAATTTCAAAACAGCAGACCGAGGCCGTACGAGTTTGTTTCGAGTTTAAAGTAACCGAAACGAGTACGCGTTCGCAGCTCTGATTGGCCGGCTCCGATGAATCAACCAATCAGAGCGCCTCAGATCCTCCAGTGATAAGCGATCAACGATGTCCATGGGAGCATCTGGTGATAAGATAGTCTCTTATAGCCATGGACATCTGGAACACTAGAGAAGTTTGAAGCGCGTTTCTGGCTAAATAGCCAATTCCCAATAAAATAAAATATTCTCAACACCTATTTAGTTATCGATAATTTTTGGGGTTTGGGATGGGAAGGGGATTGTGTGTTCGATAATGTCAGTCACCTGTCAGGTTTCCGATAATGCTAGCGTTGTTTTATGCCGATTTTCTGTTTAGTAGCATTCGGGTCTAACCAACCCATTTGTGCCGAATCATGACGCTCTTATGCCGCGAATACTGAAACGTTACTCAATTTTAAGTCGTGCTCAAATATCGTGCCATCTCTGTCATTTTACAAAGAATTTGTAGAGATAGAACTATACTTAAGCACGACTTAAAATTGAGTAGCGTTTCAATATTCCGACATTAGGTGAAAAATCTTTAACTGAGTGAGGCAATATAACGGCTAGCCGCCCTTCACGTTTCGTCGCTCTTCGAATTTAATATATAACCACGACACAATCGCTATGGCATCCGCATCAGGCTATACGAACCACCTAGGCCGTCAACCGCTAATACGTAAAAGGGCTTAAAGAAAATTATTTTCTTTATTTTCTGTTATATTATTTATTTTTTTATTTATATATTTGATGGGCCGACGTTTGATTACTGTCACGCCTGGTGGTAAGCGATGATGCGGTCTACGGTGGAGCACGTCGTCCCATAAGCAACCTATTCACTCGGGCCTTGAAGACACCAAGGTTATATCCTGGTTATCTATACTAATCTATACTAATATTATAAAGAGGAAAGATTTGTATTTTTGTATTTTTGTATGTTTGTAATGAATAAACTCAAAAACTACTGAACCGATTGCAATAATTTTTTCACCATTCGAAAGCTGCATTATTCAGAAGTAACATAGGCTATATAATATCACGCTAGGTCCTATAGTTGTGGAGCAGTAACCAAAAATGTTTTAAAAACGGGGGAAAAGTATCGTTTCTGAGGCCTTCCGTGGCGTGCGCTGAGCATATAGTTAAAGTTATACAAAAATGTCCTATAGATGAATTGTTTATCTTAACATTATTTTTAAAAAAGTCCGCGAGAGCATATGTCTACCTTTTATAGTTTACCCATAACAATCGTTTTAATGAATGGTTCAATCCTTATAAAAGTTTGCTCTAGATAACTTTTGAATTGTTCAATCGGTTACCTTAAGACGCGACATCGACAACGGAGGGCAGGTCGCTAAAAAAAAACTGAGAATAAATATAAATAAAACGTAAAACTATATAAAAAATCTTAAGTCCCCCCGTGCGAAGCCGGGACGGGCCGCTAGTTATAAATATACTAGCGGCCTGCATATCGACTTGAATGTATAAACAAAAATTCATTCAAATTAGTTCAGCTGTTTAGGATAAATAACCTAAACGTCAACTGCAGCGCCATCTGCCGGGCTGATTTGTGAATCTAAACCATTCCCAGATCCCCTTGAACACACACACAAAAAATTTCATCAAAATCGGTCCAGTCGTTTGAGAGAAGTTCAGTGGCATACACACTCACAGAAGGATTAATGAAGAAAAAATATAAAGAAGATTCTAATGTTTAGTATATTTCGCAGGATGCTGGCGATCCTCGCAGACAGAAGGGCGAAGCTCCTGTGACAAGTGCACCCGAGTGTCAGCCCCGAGACTGCCGGGCACCAAGTTCTGTTGCTGCACCAACACTTACTGTAACGCTGACTTCTGTAAGTAAATATCACGCTATTAAACAATACAAGGTACCTCGACTAATTTCAAATCACGCTCAGGGCCTATACTCACTAGATTCATTGCGTAATAAACCACCGGCGTGGCGATTTAACTTTGACATCGATGTTTGTAAACACACCCACGACACGAGAAAATCCAAGTGGCCCGGCAATGTTTGAAAAAAAAACCGTAAAGAGATATACAAACAGACTTACTTCCTTTGTATATATTTATTTAATAATTTATGTACACACAAACAACACAGAGGATAACACATATATATAAAACTAGCTTCTGCCCGCGACTTCGTACGCGTAATCCCATTTCTTCCCATCCCCGTTCGTGATTTTCGGTAAAAAGTAAAAAAAAAATGTTGGTCAAAAAGTATCCTATGTCGGTCTCCTGGCTCTAAGCTACCTCCCTACCAATTTTCAGCCAAATCTATTTTGCCGTTCTTGAGTTATAAGTGGTGTAACTAACACGACTTTCTTTTATATATATAGATAAGAGTACAAAGGTGCTACTTATTCCTGTTGGAATTTCTTCCAGTAGACCTGAGACTGAAAATGTTATTAAAACAAAAGACACAGTGTGTAACAGAAGAATAAGAAATATGTAAAAAAACTAAAGCCAAATAATAACTATAATATTATAAATAAATCCTTACTAATATTATAAATCTGAAAGTGAGTTTGTTTGTTTGTTCCACCTTCACGCCGTAACTACTCAACCGATTGCTTTGAATTTTTGCAGACGTAAAGTTAGAAGTCCGGATTAAATAATAGGGTACTTTTTAACCCGGAAAAACTTGATATTCCCGAGGAAAACAAAAGTATTGGTATAGATGGCGCTGTGTGTATTGGTATATGTCACATAGGTTACTTTTTATTCTTTTGTGATGCGAGCGAAGCCGCGGGTAAAAGCTAGTATAGTATAAATATAAATACTTAATATTTTTAATTTTGTCACCAGTAACCCTCAAAGAAGAGACGGTAACAATGAAAGCTGAATCGACAATGGACAGCGGTGCCCAGAGCATGGTGGCGGCGTCCAACATACTCGCCTCGTCCGTGCTGGCGCTAGTAGCGACACTAGTACTCGCGCTACTACTCACGAAGTTCTACTGCCGGTCCAGCAGGCCGCATAGTGATACCGACACACTTAATGTTGAGAAAGGTAATATTTTAACATAAAATAACATAACATCACGCCTTTTATCCCCGAAGGGGTAGACAGGTGCACATTATGCTGCAATGTGAAGCAATGAGGGAGACGTGTTACTGTTACGAATATCTTTAATTAAGTGTCTATTAACTATCTTACGCTACTTATAGGGCGAGGTGTCACACATACTACAATGCCACTGTACGATGTAACACCCACTTTTCTGTGTACTGTTTATGTCATGAGTCCCATGTAATAGGGGGTGAGCCTATTGCCATATACCGGGCACAATTCCAGACTCCGTGCTACTACTGAGATTTTTTTTACAAACCCAGTAATACTTTGCCCGACCCGTGAATCGGACCCTAGACCCCTTGCCCAGCAGTCGCACTTGCGACCACTCGGCCAGTGAGGCAGTGTAAAAAAAATTCTTAAGTAATATTTACTTTTATATATAATAAAATTATACAACAAAGAGACATCTATGAATTGTATGAGACACCAATTTCTTCTGAAAGGCTCTACGAAGTTCGTGTAGAGAAAGGCTTCACTAAAGTCGTATAAATGTAAAGCTAGATGGCGCTGCTTTAAGATTTTAACTTAAATATAAAAATACATGAAGGGTCTAGGCGTTTCAGGTAAAGTAAACTTAAAGACTGCCTCAATAGTCTAGTGATCGTAGGTGCGACTGCCAGGTAAGGGGTCTCGGGTTCAATTCCCGAGTCGGGCGAAGAAATATTGTTGTTTTTTGTTTTTAAATTCTCAGTAGTAGCACGGATACTGGAGTTGTGCCCGGTATGTGGCAATAGGCTCACCCCCTATTACATAAGACTCATTACATAAATAGTGAAAAGTGGGTATTACATTGTACAGTGGTATAATGTACACCTCTGCCTACCCCTTCGGGGATAAAAGGCGTGATGTTATGTTATGTAATCGATACCAACTTTATATATATTTGCCCTGTTTACAGGAGATGTCATGGGCAGTGGTCCTGATGCGTTGGCGACGGGGCTGTCCTGCGTCGATAACTTAACGCTTATCGAACACATTGGTAAGTTTCTGAGGAATCGAAACGAGACCCCAGGAGCTCTGAGGGCTTAGTACGAGTTTCTTTTTCGGTTAAAGTAATCGAAACGAGACGGCGTTCGGTGCTCTGAGGCTTTAGTACGAGTTTGATTTACGTTTAAAGTAATCGAAACGAGTACGTGTTCGGAGCTCTGATTGGTTGGTTCGTGGACGCCGGCCAATCAGAGCGCCGAACGCGTACTCGTTTCGAATACTTTAAACGTAAAACAAACTCGTACTAAGGCCTCTGATTGGTTTGTTCATTGGAGCCGGCCAATCACAGCGCCGAACGCGGACTCGTTACGATTACTTTAAACGTAAATTAAACTCGTACTAAGGCCTCTGGGTGCTTACTCTTCAAACCAATCTCAATGTCAATGCAATTTCAATCCAATAAAATCTCAATAATTATCCAATGTCAAAACTATACAACCCTATCGTAGCTGCTAAAGTAGCATTTAGAGTACGGAATATAAAAACAAACTCAATACCATTTAGTTCATGAAATATCCACGCAATACGGATGCAAAAGGTGCTAGTGTTACAACTCAAGAGTACGAAATTTCACAATGTCAATGTCGATCAATCGGAATTGGATTCAAGAGTAAGCACCCTGATTGGTTGGTTTATTGGTTGGCCAATCAGAGCGTCGGACGCGGTCCAGTTTCGACTATTTTATACGTAAAACAGACACACTAAGGCCTCTGATATATAAGATCACTGTACACCGTGAAATCTGTATCATATTTGTCTCAAAGTAAAATGGTTTTGTCTCGGTAATACAATAGTATTACAAAGAAATAAAATATTTAAAACAAAACATAGCTGGAGAACCATTGCAAAAAGCAAACTTCGAAAGCGCATACGAACTCATAGTACATTATCAAAACATTACACCATGTAGTCTCGAAGAGGCATTTCTCGTCAGGTGGCACGTGCGATGCAAGTAGTGCCTACAAATTTACGTCTACTTAGTGTTTCATGTGCGTATTTCCATGTAATTATTTTTTAACTAAAAATACCTATGACGTTTTTGTTTTTTGTTTTTACTTTATTCATCGAAAGTACTCCTTATGGCAAGTTGTTTTGCTACGGAGCGTAAACGAAATACTATGTCGATATACTATAATACACCTGGAACATACAAAATCTATAAACTATTTTTCCAGGTCAAGGCAAGTTCGGCTCAGTCTGGCGTGGCAGTCTTGGTTCGGTTCCCGTTGCAGTCAAGTTGTATTCGAACACGAGTACGTGGCAGAGAGAGGCAGCGATATACGCATTGCCGCATCTCGCTCATCCAAATATACTGAGATATTATGGTAAGTTAGCCTTAATTTTTTTTTAAGGGGGAACATCATCGAATGGCTTGTCCCGCCTGGGTAAGGCGGCACCGCGGCACCGTAAGCGCGGGCCTGCGGGCGCCGAGCATGGGTGGCTCCCCGTCCGACCAGAACTAGATCCGAGCGTACGGAGCGTCGCGTTCCGCGCGCGCCTCAAAGAGCCATCAGAACACCACAGATAGGGCCCAATAGGGCTGATGCCGATACGGAGCCGCGGAGAACTTTACCGGGGCTCCAGCTCGAAGTGCATGCACTTCTTCTTCACTCCTGCAGGAGTAAGAACGGCGTGGTTTTTAGTCAGTAAGAGTCTGACACTCCCTCCCGCCTCACCCAGGCGGGAGCAGCCATTCGATGGTTTCCCCCCTTAAAAAAATGACATTATGCAACATTGTGTACATTCATATACGTGAGAACAATGTAAAGACATAGTTGACGCATAATACAAATTACAAAACTTAATACTAAAAAAGAAAATATCTTATAGTCTAACATGGTGCATTGCTATTCTTATACACAGGCAGCGACAGTCGCGCCACGCTAACAGGCGGCGGAGGTCGCTCGGAGCTGGTCGTGCTGGAACTATGCGCCGGTCCGCTCCGCTCTCGGCTGACGGCCGCCCCCCTCAGTTGGAGGGAATTTGCGCATCTAGCGCATGGACTAGCCGCCGCATTAGCGCATCTACATACGCCTAGTAAGTTTATTTTATGTTTTATATGTTTTAAAAGAGGTTTTTGAATAAAAGCAGTTAAAAATACTGAAGTCAGTCACAAAAGAATAGTAATAAGTAGTACATAGACCATTTCGACCATTTAAAAAAAAAAATAGTAAATATTAGTACCTATTTCGACTAGTGTCATCTAACTGTAATAGACTTTGCTTATGTCAGTTGTCTTAGTCATTTGATTAAAGAATTGTGATCAATTTTTGTTATAGTTAAATCGACATTATGCAATCCAAATTATAAATAGTTTACAAATAATAATACTTCCAAACAACAGTTTGCGCAACAGATGCGCAAAACTGTACGATTTGCGCAAAGATATATAAATAATAATAAAATGTTTATATGGTGTAAAAAGCCAGATTACAAAATAAATCTTACTATCTAAAAAAAGTCTAAAATTTATATGTAAAACCTGAACTAGACTCAAGCCTGTGTTTTAGGTTAAAAATGTGCTGAAATATTTACATACAATAACATTGCTTATAAAACTAAACATTTTATGTCTAAATTAAATTAAGTTGGTATCTAAGTATAACAGGTGCGCGTGTACAGTTTCATAAACAAACGTAAGCAAAAATAACTATACTCGGAATTTTAATTCGATTCCAGATTTGACAACTTCAGTGTGGCAACGTTATGACAAGTTCTAAATAGTGACGTTGCGAAATTATTCGATATGGAAATGCAATATTTCTGGATCGATTCTTCTCGTTTATAATAATTATAATTTTACTCTCGTGAACTAAGTATATCAGGAAATTAAATATTTCTGAACCGATAATTTAGTTTTGACGATTAATTAACGATCTGAGACGTTTCTTTTATAATTGTGTGGGAAATAAATATAAAAATATAATCATAAAGGAACATGACAAATAAAACAGATAGATGTATTATGGTAATAAGTTATTTTATAAATTGTCGCCGTCATCGCTATCGCTATCCTGTCACTTTCTGTAACATTTATTATAAAACACACACAATGATTGTTTATCGATTTTTGTGTGCATCACTACACTATTATATGTGGTATCATTATTTCACAAAATGACAGTAGCTATTGTCAAATCTGGAATCTAATTAAAATTCTGACTATAAGTCACCTATAACAAAATTATTTGCTTACTTCAAGTAATTCCTCGGTTTGATCGTATGTTAAGGTGTGTACATAATTATGTAATAGGTTTTTACAGTGAAAATGATTGAGACTATAAATACTTAATTCTCTATTTATTCTATTGTATAAAAATGGGCCAAGAAAGATAAAGAATATTTTTATAAAAGCATGTTTTGACACTGAGGTTGAAGTGCAAACTATATCATTCCGTCTTTTGTTAGTAAAATTATTAATGGGGTAGACGACTAATTTTTATTTTAATGTCCGTTTGGTAGATTATTTAAAAACATTACACACGTATTTTTTATTTTCTTACGGAAACGAATAGTTTCGAAGATATATTGATTTGAAATGTCGCGTGACGTCACTTCTCAGTACATTTTATACTGAGAAATGACGTTTTAGCCCCCACTCCTAAACTTTGATTCGTTTTATTTAAGTATTGTTTTATTATACGACAAAATAAAAAAATACGTGTCCTATATTTTTTAATTACCTAACTTACGGACTAATTAGATTTTTAATTTTCATACCCTCTCATCATCCCCATTGAAGCTGAGTAGTGAGTGTTGTTTGTGTTATAAATATAGTACTATGAAATCATGTGTAGCTGGTAGCAAGCCTTGCGTGGTACATCGCGACGTGAACAGTAGCAACGTGCTAGTGACGGCCGGGGGCGACGCTCGCCTCGCGGACCTCGGCCTCGCGCAACTGTTGCACGCTGCAAGGGACCGGGCAGCGCCTACGAGGATTACTGAGGTAAGTCTATACATAAATACTGCCTCATTGGCCGAGTGGTCGCAAGTGCGACTGTGTTACATTGTACAGTGGCATAATGTACACCTCTGCCTACCCCTTCGAGGATAAAAAGCGTGATGTTATGTTATCTATAGATATAATAAATCTGTATAAAAGTAATTTTTGTACATTGAAGATATTGACAAAAAAATAGCCAGCGTGTTAAAGGAAAACTAACAGAGTTCATTTCCATCATTTTTGACATTTTTGTCATTTTTGTCTGTTTGTCTGTTTATGTGTTTGTTTGTGCGCGCATCGCGTAAAATCAACGAATTCAATGCATACAATGTTTATATACAAAAATTCTACTTAGTTTTTGTTTCATCGAAATCGGTTCACTCTATCAGAAGATATGATTAATTTAGTGAGTTCAAGAAGTAAAATATTATAACACGCAATTCAGTATAGTACTTGCAACGACACCTTAAGAATAGAACTAATGTTGATAGTTGAAATCTTTACCCGATAGATGGCGTTGTGCAGAAATTTTTTTGAAGGGAAAACTTCTTTATCGTCTGTGTACACTTTTTTTTGTAATGGGTAAAAAATTTTAAACTCACGCCAGGACATGTGACCCTGATCGAAAATTCGTAAGACGGATTGACAGCTGGCGTGGCGTAGGACAGGGAGTATCCCCCTCTCTTTCTACGGCGCGGCGAAAATGTATGCCTGCGCCGGCTGCTTCGTTTAGGCGGCGCAGGGCGCTTGCGCGAATATTCGTGTATTTATTATGTGTTTAATTGAATTTTTAAATAATGGATTTGCTTTAACTATGTCAAATGATCGCCATCTTAGCATAACGAAATATTAAACTGCTATTGATACTGGTGGTCTTTATTAGACATTTACATTATGTTCGAATCAAATCTGTCCGTTTCTTACTTCAGCTATCATAAACCGATCGTATCAGTTTTAGAGATTGGCAATGATGGTTCTGGTAATAATAATAGTGAAAAAGTCGTCGAAATTCTGAATGGAAGTTGATTTTTCTGAGGGATAAACTTTTTAATGTATTTTAATTTGTCATGTTTGTGTACGATAGCGCAATAACTAAATATTGTCAGGATCTTTACTGGCAAAAAAAAATATTATACCGCCTTCTTGAGTGGAGTTATGTATATAGCCTACTGTTATCTAAACGATGTGGTTTGGTTTTCGACAACCACGCGAATGAAGTCGCGGACACAGCTAGTAATTAATAAAATGACTGCATTTTATTCCTTTCCCCTACCCCTCCCTCACTGTCCTCTGCCCCCTTTCCCACTCCCCTACCCCTGTCCCCTTCTACCCCTATCTTCTACATACTTCTCTCCTCTGCCTTCTACGAATCCCGCTTATCTATTTCTCTACCTTTCTCTATCCTCTCCGTCCCCCTTTCCCCCTGCCCCTCTCACTCCCGTATCGCGTACACACTCTTAAATCAAACTAAATTTTCCAAGTTTCCTTCGATACCTATCTCTAAGTCTACAGTCTTTAAGCGCTCAATATCAATATTCCCATTCCTAAATCCCTAATCCAGCCAAAAAGTCAGCACACTTGTAGCTCTTTTTCTGATGAATGATAGTAGATGACCTTCGTTCTATTTAAAGTACATAATCCTGTATTCCCCAGGCGGGTACCCTCCGCTACCTGTCCCCCGAGGCGCTGGAGGGCGCGCTGGACCTGTCGGGCGCGCGCGCCGCGCTCTGCGCCGTCGACGTGTTCGCGCTCGGACTCGTGCTCTGGGAGATGCTCTGGCGCACGCGCGGCGCGCACGCCGGGCCCGCCCCGCCCTACGCCCCGCCCTACCTGCACCACGGCCTGCCGCCGCGCCCCACGCTGGCGCAGATGCAGGTCTGTTCTCTTACAAGTGGCTACACAATGCGCACGCCGGGCCCGCCCCGCCCTACGCCCCGCCCTACCTGCACCACGGCCTGCCGCCGCGCCCCACGCTGGCGCAGATGCAGGTCTGTACTCTTACAAGTTGCTACACAATGCGCACGCCGGGCCCACCCCGCCCTACGCCCCGCCCTACCTGCACCACGGCCTGCCGCCGCGCCCCACGCTCGCGCAGATGCAGGTCTGTTCTCTTACAAGTGGCTACACAATGCGCACGCCGGGCCCGCCCCGCCCTACGCCCCGCCCTACCTGCACCACGGCCTGCCGCCGCGCCCCACGCTGGCGCAGATGCAGGTCTGTACTCTTACAAGTTGCTACACAATGCGCACGCCGGGCCCGCCCCGCCCTACGCCCCGCCCTACCTGCACCACGGCCTGCCGCCGCGCCCCACGCTCGCGCAGATGCAGGTCTGTCTCTTACAAGTGGCTACACAATGCGCACGCCGGGCCCGCCCCGCCCTACGCCCCGCCCTACCTGCACCACGGCCTGCCGCCGCGCCCCACGCTGGCGCAGATGCAGGTCTGTACTCTTACAAGTTGCTACACAATGGCAAATGAAAAGATTTTCGGAACAAACTCGTGGAAGAAGTACTTTCAATAATAATTAAAGGTCTCCGAATACGGCAGTAAAACTTATTTTAAAACGTGTGGCGCGGGTAGGCGTGGCGGCACCAACAAGTTTCATAGGAATTTGACCTGTACGGCGATGGTCTTAAGGCTCAGAGTAACACAGATGTGAAGCGAGCGCAGCAGAGAAGGATAGCAATTTATGATGATGATAGCAATTAGATTAATAACAAATATAAATTATTAAGTGAATACAAATGAAAACTGAGAATAAAAATGAAAAGAGAGGAATGAGGTAGCACTGGAGTTGTTATTCGTATGCGGGTGGAAGACACACTGTGCGGCGGTTCTCGGCGATCACGTAGGCCAGCTCGCATGCACGCGGCGGCTCGGTCGTTCAAGGTCTTCGTCGCCGACTCCCGTACAAACACATGCACTCGGCGCATGCGTCGCTGCGCGTGGAAGTGTAGTGGGCGTCGACCACCACCTCACCTGATCTAAGGCCACGGTACAAAATCATAAGCGATGGCGATTTTCTTAAAATTGTAAGGTGGTGGTCCAAGTGATAATCCGCTACAAACGAAGATAAAAGATAATGTAATAACAATAGCAATCATTTCTTTGAATTTGTCATCTTATCATAATTAAATTATCAACGAATTTCTTGATTAAATCCTATAGAATATCGCTCACTCACCCCCTATTACACGGGACTCATAACATAAATTGTGAAAAGTGGGTGTTACATTGTACAATGGCATTAAGTGCTGTAATGAGCACCTCTGCCAACCGCTTCGGGGATAAAGGTTATATGTTATGTATAATATGGTTATTTTCGAAAACTGTATAATAGATGCAAGTTAATTTTAATCTTAGTCCAGATTTGACAGAATGGCAAGGTTTTGAGACAGCCATTTTCAATCATAATCGCAAGATTTTAACTCACTTTTAATATGATGAAAGCATCGATTTGTCTTGCTGTAATAATTACAACTATAACTTCTTCTACACAGAGCTTAGTTTCCCGCAACAAGGCTCGGCCTCCACTACCAAAGGGGCCAGTGCAACAATCCCGAGCGTTGAAGATCGCTGCTGATACCTGTGACGAATGCTGGGATCATGATGCTGAGGCTAGGTACGGTTTTGAACTAAATAACTACATAATTATGTTTTAATTATTATTTCTTAGTTAGTAATGACCAAAGACCAAAGACTGCCTCATTGGCCGAGTGGTCGCAAATGCGTGGGTTCGATTCCCAGGTCGGGCAAAGTACTACTGGGTTTTTAAAAAATCTCAGTAGTAGCACGGAGTCTGGAACAGTGCCCGGTATATGGCAATAGGCTCACCCCCTATTACATGGGACTCATAACATAAAGCTCTCTCTGAAGCTACTGGTCGGCTCCTATTTTTATATTTTTTATTTTATAAGTAGTATTTTCAAATGTAATTTTAGAGGATTTTAAATACATATATTGGAATAATAATGTTTTTGATCAGATTGACAGCGGTGTGCGTTGAAGAAAGAATGGCTGAGCTAAAGCAGATGTTACACGCACAGGGCCCTCTCATACACGACAACAATCTTCATCCACATCCACCTAGTGAGTACTTACCTTAAATATGGGCTTTTTATTTAATAATAGTAACAAAATCATTCTTTACCACCTCTACTCTTCCTGTAGACCTCGTCAGTAGACTAATAAACTACATACTTAAAAGATATTAGGCAACAGCACAATAGCCCAGAGGTATAAGACGCTCAGTTCTCATACATGACTGTGTGGGTTCGAAACCTACCAACAGCAAGTGCCAATGTGACTTTTTCCGAGTTATATGTACTTTCTAAGATTATTTAAACCGCGGAGAACCTAACGGGTAACCGGGGCTCCGGCTCGACGTGCAGGAGAAGGAACGGGGTGGTTTTTAGTCAGTAAGAGTCTGACACTCCCTCCCGCCTCACCCAGGCGGGAGCAGCCATTCGATGATTTTCCCCCCTAAAAAAAAAGACACCACTGACAAAGTGAAGGAAAACATCGTGAGGAAACCTGGGCTTGTAATTTATTATTATAAGTTTGAAAACGCCAACCCACATTGAGCAAGCGTGGTGATTAATGCTCAAACCTTCTCCGTGTGAGGCCTTTGGTCAGCAGTAGCCACTTATAAGCTGTTCATGATGTATTGCATGCATTTATACTGTAATCTCCAAATCGTCAAGGTTGGAGATGGTGACTTTACATTGCTATTTATAGTAAATAAAATAAAATAAAAATAAAAAAGCCTTATATTTCTTACTAATTTACAAAGAATTGAAAAATATAAAAGATTGGTTTTACGTAATAAGATTTCCTTTGCTTTACGTCCTACTCAGTTAGCGTTGCTTGTAGTAAGAACCCCTCGCGTTATTCGAAGGCGAAGGCCTCCTCTAGTGCTTTCCATTTGTCCCTAATTAATACTAATTATAGTACTAAATGTTAAACCATTACTTCACAGCGGACTCCAACGTGCCCACACCACCAGAAATGGACAAGAATTCAAACTGTACATCCACCCAAAATATTGACGTCCATACTCCTCTTCTATACCCCCAGCCGCATATAGGCCGTAACGCGTGCATAGAACGCAACACACATACGAACACACAGTCCACTACCGTTGAACTTATACACAAATCCTTAAAAGATATTACTGCACCCATAGAGACTCTGAGAGTCCCCAACGTAGAGGAGAATTGTCTCTCAGTAGCCAGAATCTCTAGTCACCCGAGAATTTCTCTACTCGAAAACTCCGCTCTATCAGAAGTAAGGTCCTACCAAAGACCACTAGATTACGTCCAAAATGACGTCACAGTCAACGAAGATAGAGGCCCCAAGCAAACAAACCTACTCCAAGACGTTAAGGTCGAAAAACCCAAATGGGGCTTCAAGAAATTCTTCGAAAAACTCAATAGAAATAAAATGGAAACTGAAGTGAAATTGGCGGAGAATTCGCAAAGGACTTTGACCTCTATTGTCGATAAGCCTTCCAACAATGATATTAGACCATCGAATCTTTCTATTACTCAAGATCGCAGTCCATATAACTTTGAGGGACCTTGCACCTTATCGCCTCCTAATAGGACTCTTTCTCCAACAATGATGATGGATTCAGAGAACAAAGTGTTTGGTTTCAAAGAGCTTCCTAACAGAGACGCTGAAGCCAGAACACCGAACCAAATCTTCGCTGTAATAGTACCGAAAGCTAAACCACCAGATTTCATCGAAATGAAGAACAAAGGCAGCTCTGAAAGCCTGAAGCGTTCAGTAAAAACTTCTCTATCATCTCAAAGCATTTTAAAATCAAATTCCGAGTCTGAAGACTCGACTGTCAAGAAAAGATTGAGTTGCGAAAATAGAAACGGTAGTGGGAGTTCTTCGAGAGCATCTATTAACTTAGAACTACAGTACATTGATACCCAAGACTCCTTCAACGGTCCCATAAGCCCTTTCGATATAAACTCAGACTGTTCTAGCAGCGAAGATGAACATTTAATGCTTCTATCTGAAAACGGGGGCTCAAAAATCACCATGCAAACGATACCAAAACAAGAAGTTAAAAAGAATGAAGTTTTAAAAGAATCTAGTCAAGTGACAGATTTCACGTTTAATAAATTCCAAAATAAATATACTAATTTTGACAATGAGTATAGTGATCCGAACGACAAAGAAAATGCGGTTAACGGATTCAGTGGCGACAATCCGGTTTACTTCGCAGCTTTGAATGGGGAAATAGATTCTTCTGAATTAAAACTACAAGGGAATCGGTCTCCGAAGCCAACTTTGAAGAACTTGGCGATTAAGAGGCAGCATTCTTTAGAGCAGGTGAGTGAGATATTCTCTTCTGCAGGTGATGTGAACCTTCTGAACCCGGCAGGAAGGGTCAAAACTCCTGGGGATCTGCCCGTAGCAGTTAGAAAGGCAAGAAGAGATAGAGCTTTGCAGAAGGGGAGAGCGAGTGAATGCAATAGATTGAGTTTATACGATGATCGAATGATGTTTGGTAATAGTTTGTAGTTCAGTCTTTGCTAGATATATGTATAATTTGTCGCTAGCAGAGCCCAGCACACATCGGCGGAGGCGCGGCGAAAATACTGAGAATACATCAATTTAAAATATACTTTAACTACTAAAGCAAACGGATGAGAACTGCATGCCGAAGAAGCTTGACGACGCACTGCGCGAGTCCTACTAAAATATATCTTTGGTATGCCATTGTCAGCCCTGTGCCACAGTAGTTAAGATTTATTTTAAATTGATTAATTCTCAGTATCTTCGCAGCGCCTCCGCCAGTGTGTGCTGTGCCAAAATGTTCTATATGCTCCTCCTATTTGAGTTGAAAATATATTGTTGATAGTCATTGAACAGATGTGTCATTTCCGTAAACATTTATTTATATATATAATAGAAGTACTTAGTAGTAAACAGACATACAAACAAACAGATTTGTTATATATTAATTTAATAAAGCAACTTAAGAACTGTTACCTCACATTGGAATTAATAAATAACTATAAAGAAAAGTATTAAAATGGTTTAATGGATATTGTTGGTTTAAATGATATACCTTGAAAACTGCTAGTTCTACAACTATACTATTTCAATATTTGAAACTCTCAGACATAAATCATGTTTTAAATTATGCCTTCAGTTTGAAACTAGACATATGCCGGAATACTGAAACGTTACTCAATTTTAAGTCGTGCTCAAATATCGTGTCATCTCTGTCATTTTACAAAGAATTTGTAGAGATAGAACTATACTTAAGCACGACTTAAAATTGAGTAGCGTTTCAATATTCCGACATTACAAACAAGAAAATAGTTTAATAAATAAACCAACAATTTCCCAACACACTGTATATTAAAAACAAACGATTGCGCTTCTCTTTCTACATATATATATATTATTGATTCAAATAAATAATCGAATGACATTTTCAAATCGATTTTGAATTCGAACGAAAATTTTTTTATAAATTTGCAAAATTTTTAATACATTTTGTCTTAATATTTGAAAGTTTTTGCCAAATTATTGATGTTTGCATGCTAATTATTCTTATTCTTATGACTTACCCACGTTGCTGAAATGAAGGGTTATGAGTTTTGCGTGCCTAGAAACTAATGAAGCCTAAAAGCAGTTAATTTAAAATAGTTTTTCAAACAAATGTTGGCTTTGAAAGTCAATATCTAAGCATTTAATTCAAATAAGCCTATTAAATTATTCTTTATTGAACTGCTTTTTTTTAAAGTAATTAAAATAATAAGGCTCAAAACTACCCCAGCACCATCTATGTATCGCAAAACCGATACCACTCATTTTGGTTGATTCTCATTATCTCTGTATATTATAAATGGATTTTGAAAATAAGATAATTATTATAATTAAGCGTACCATTTCAATGCAGTTATTTATAAGTTATGTTTATTTTCATAATTTATTCGTAAACTAATCATTAAACTTGTCATAGTTATATACATACATACCACCACGCCTTTTATCCCCGAAGGGGTAGACAGAGGTACACATTATACCACTGTATAATGTAACACCCACTTTTCACTATTTATGTTATGAGTCCCATGTAATAGGGGGTGAGCCTATTGCCATATACCGGGCACAATTCCAGACTCCGTGCTACTACTGAGAATTTTTAAAAAACCCAGTAATACTTTGCCCGACCCGGGAATCGAAACCGAGACCCCCTGCCCGACAGTCGCACTTGCGACCACTCGGCCAGCGAGGCAGTCGTAGTTATATGATTATATATATGCTTGGTCCATATACAAGTAAAACGTTGGTGTTACATTATGTATGTGCATTATTCACTTCTGTCTTCCTCTTTGGTGATCAGAAGACACAATGTTATACAGCATGTTATGTATCAGATTTTCGATACTTAACATGAAATGTAACATAATATGTATCGGATTCCCGATACTCAACATGAAATGTAGGCGAAGTATTGAAAATTCAATTCCTTACATTAAAAAAATTTGATAAACCCTATAACTGTGACGGTTTTTAGTTTATGAATAAATTTTGTATATTATTTTGATCGTAGTTTTAAGTTCCTATTGATAATCAAACAAACAGCCATGTTTTTTATTTGTTTTTTTTTATTGTTAAGTTTTTATTGGGAATTCTTGTGTCTACTTTGTTTTGAGGTATTAAAAATGTTCAATAATATATTGCCTAGCAGGTATCTTGGATTCGATTCCCTAATCGGGAAAATACTATTGAGAAGACCTAGCTTCACCTAGTTTCACTGACGGACTGACTGACAGACTATTATTTATTTTGTATTTGTTGACGTTTCAAAAGTACCGAACTATGGTTTAATTGAAATAAATGTTTTGACTTTGACTTTGAGAATTTTTCTACCTATATACCTTTTTTGGTATATACGTTCGATATTGTTTCCAGTGTACATAAATGAAAATATAAAATTGAAATAAAGCAGTTTTTCCTCCTAAAAACGAAGTAGAGACACTTCCCATTACATTGAGTAACGTTTTGTTTTGTTATAAAATAACTTTTTTTTAAGTTTATACATTACAAATGTAATATAGTCAGTTTTCACCAACCCCTCCTAAATTTTAAGGGACCCCTAAGCTAAGATAGGTGACATTTAACGACGTGTTAGTTTTCACCAACCTATAAAGTGACATAAGTAAGGGGTTAGTTTTAAATGCTACGTCACGCGAAGTAACTTTTAGTTAGGGGATGGTTTAGAGGTGGTTGGAGAAAACTGCTGTGTTTTTTTAATCTTACTTTATTTAGCTTTAAATGGTTTTGTAAATATTTCCTCTTGTGTCGTGATTCTGATATTATTGTATTAAGTATTAATAATTGATATTGGATTTTTATATCTGTGGTGGTTTTTTGCTAATAGGACGTATCTAGTTTTTATTAGTCAAAGTGTTATCTATACTAATATTAATATTATAAAGCTGAAGAGTTTCTTTTTTTTGTTTTTTTGTTTGAACGCGCTAATCTCCGAAACTACTGATTCGAATTGAATAATTCTTTTTGTGTTGGATAGTCAATTTATCGAGGAAGGCTTTAGGCTATAAAACATCACGCTACGACCAAAAGGAGCCGAGCAGAGCGGCTGAAACCGCGCGCAAGTAGCTAGTTAAAATATATTTGGCGACTCATTGTATCGACACAAGTTTTAAATGGAACGCTTCCGAAAATGCATAATATTTTTTGTTCATACAATTATAATAGCTTTTTTATTTTATTGATTTATTTTATGCACAACACACAGACAGGAGAATGCATATCCTCGACTAGCAAAAACTGTAACTAGCTGTGCCCGCGACTTCGTTCGCGTGGAATAATGATTTACTGCGTTTTCCCTGTAGGTTATAGCGTGATAATATGTAGCCTATATGTTGACCTGACCTGTTAATAATAATCATACAAAATTTTAAGGAAATACATGCAATACTTTTTGAGATCATCCCGGGCATACATACAGACAAACATTCTAAAAACCATATTTTTGGCTTCACTGTCGACTGTAGATCACGCCCCAAGTATTCTTTTAAAAAAATATTCAATGTACAGTTTTGACTTTTCTACGATTTTATCATATGTATAGATGAGAAAAATATATATGAATTATTTTTAATAACACTTTGACTGATATAATTTACTAGATATTCAATGAAACCTCTCTGATATATCTTGATACATCTCTGATATATCTTGACTTTTCTGAATTTAATCGATTACTATCAATAATCCATAAATACAGTAGGTACAATTGTCGAGTAGCAAGCGCGATTTGAGTTGGTCTCCAGTTTATATCTTCTGATTTATATCATATTGTTCATGTCCCTGGGACGCGCCGGACTTCAGAGTTCCGGTGTTTTCATGGTTGTATCTACTGTAGATCCTAGCTTGCAGGAATTGCAGCGATTTAGGCAGATTGTGGAGGGCTTGACCTAATAAAAAAAATGTATGACAGGTCAAAATATATCATTGTATGTACACATATTCATTCCATATTAAATAAATAAATTGCAATATATAATATATGATGTACTTACTTATATACAGATAAATATAATACCTATATATGTATGTATATATGCAACCATGTTCAAAACTATTTTAAATTATCGTGATTTTATTCTAGATTGATAATAAACGTTTGGAAAAATGGTCTTGATGGTATTTTTAAGATGTTTTTGGTTTTCGACTATGGCTTACTATTATTTGTAAATGTTTCCGAATTGATAAGACTAGGGAAAGCAAGTTTCGCAAAATTGGGGCTCAAGCGAGACTTTAATGAGATTATAAAATACAATCTTGAGAAATTTCACTAATTTTGAGATCTCGGAAATCTCTCAAACAAAAAATCTTTAGTAAAGCAATCTTGAACTAGATTAATCCCCTTAAAATGGTCAAGATCTTGCGAATGGCCATTGCATTCGGCCCTTTGAGAAAAGAGCATACTCCTTTTTAAGGTCAGTGACGCACTAGTACCTCCGCTGATGTTGCGAGTGTCTATGAGTGAAGCTGATCGCTTATCAGCGAGGATCCGTCTGCTCGTTTGCACACAAAGAAACTATAATAAAAATATTTAATGTAATCGTAGTCGGAAACCAAACAGAAATTGTTTCGAAATCACGATAAATTATGAAAATAATAGAAATCGAACTTTAAACTTTGTCAACATGCCATAAGAAATAAATTTAAATGAAATGTACCTTATTATCCATAAAAGGCCACTCACGTATTGATTACAAAACTATTCAAAAATAGTTACTCCTTTGTTTAGATAGAAAGGAAAGGAGAGCATCTTTAGGTTGCCAGAGTTGGTCAAAATTGACTTGGTAATTTATGAGACAAATCATAACCAAATAAAAACTGTTTAATAAGGATTTACTTCGTTAGGTTATATATAACAGTTGAGTTATTATTTAAGTTATACAGAGTGTTAACGGAACGCTTCCAGAAACGCAGACATTTTATTATTATTTTTTTATTATTTTATAAAAAAC